ATGCACAAAAAGCATTTAACAAAAGTTATCTGTTTCTGATTTTTTTAAAAAAAATTCTCAGTAGACTAGATAGATAATAAAAGTTTCTTTGAATAACCTAAAAGAAATGGGTACATTCATTTAAGGCACATTCAGCCTATCAGTACTAAGTCATGAACAAATAGAATATCAAAATGGACTAATAACAAGTAAAGTCATAAATGTTGCCCATTAAAAAAATGCCCAGGACTTGTTGGCTTAACTGCTGGAGTATATCAAATGTTTTAAGAAGAACTAATCTCAGTCCTGGAGGAGAAACTTGTCAACGCATCTTTTACAAGGCCAGCAGTATCCTGAAACCAGGGGATACTATAAGAAGAAGGAATACTGTAGGAGGAAAAGGAGGAAGAGGAACCGCAGGAGGAGGGGGAGAGGGAGGAGATACAAACCAGTGTTCTTCATAAACATACCAAAAATCCTCAATGGAATATTAGCAAACTGAATTTAATTGGGGGTTAGAAGATTCATGTATCGTGGGGGGAAATCTATCTCTGATATGCTACATTAGCAGGATGAAAGACAAAAAGAAACAAGATCACTTCATTAGATGAAGAAAAGGCGTTCACCAGTTCACTATCCTTTTCTGATAAAAACTCAAGTAGGCGTACAAAGAGTAAACCTAAGATTGTATATAACTAGCCCATAGGAAAGATAGTGTCCGACATGAAAGAGAGGAGAGCTTTTCTTTCAACAGTAGAAGAAGACAAGGATACCCACTCTTGCCACTCTATTCTATATAGGCCTAAAAATCCTAGCCAGGGAATACAGGCAAGAGAAAGAAAGAAAAAACATCCAAATCAGAAAGGAAGTAAAACGTCCCTCATTGCAGATGGTACGCGCTTACAGGTTGATAATCCTTATCCAAAAATTCAAATCTGAAATGCTTCCAAATCTGACACTTTGAGTGCCAAAATGATGCTCAGTTTCAGATTTCAGACCATTTCAAATTTTGGATTTTAGAATTAGGGATGCTTAGTTGATGGAGTCTATGTAAATATGCCAAAGTCTGAATAACTCTAAAATGTGAAATACTTCTAACAATTCCATTTACATGAGTTACACATAAAAAATAATTTAGAAATAAGTTTGAGGAAATGGAAAGGCAGAAACATTGATAAGAGAAATCAATGAACACACAGTGAAATGGAAAGATAACCAATAATCATAAATTGGAAAAATTAATGTTGCTAAGTTGTGTATGCTTCCAAAAATGACGCATTGAGCCGAGGATTTAGCTCAGTAGTGTAAGCACCTGCCTTGCAAGCGCGAGATTGTGAGTTCAATCCCTGGTACCAAAAAAAAAAGATGGATAGACTCTGTCCAATTCCTTTCAAAATTCCAATGATGTTTTTCAGAGAAATAGAAAAAACAGTCCTAAAATTTGTATGAAATAAAAGCCCCTGAATAGCCAAAATGGTTTTGAACGGAGGACCAAAGCCAGAGACACTATAGTGTCTGATCTCAGAATGCACTGCAGAACATCTGTGCATGGTAGATCACCTGCAGTGCTAGCACTCTGGGGAGCAAGGTAAGAGGAGTACAGGTTGAACCTTGGCTGATGATTTACAATAAAGCAAGACTCTACTCAAGGTAGAAACTAAAGGGCCACAATGTAGCTCAGTGCAGAGATACTGAGTTCAATCCTCAGCACCAACAAAACAAAATAACAACAAAAACTACAGAGCAGTAGTAATCAAACAATTTGGTAATAATATAAAAACAGTCATAAGTGAGCGGAACAGAATAGAGCCCCCAGAATGAAAATAGTCATAAATCAGTGGAACAGAAGTTTGTACCACTCATTTATAGTCACCAGATTTCACCAAAGGTGGTCAGAACGCACAAGAAGGGAAGGGTAGTCTGTTCTGAGTATAGTGCTGAGGAAAGTAGGGGAAACTAGATATCCACAAGCAGAGTGAAATTAAGCCCTCGTCTTCCGCCATCTACAAACTTTAACTCAAAATGGAAAAAAGATTTGACCATGGGACCCGCGACTATAAAACTGCTTGAAGAAAGTGTAGGTGTAAGTTCCACAATGTTGATCTGGGCAGCAGTGTTTTTGGCTATGACCCTCAAACGTACAGACAAGAAAAGCAAAAAGATAAGTCAGATTACATCAGCCATTAACAGGATGAAGGGCCAGTCTGTGGCAGCGGTGGTTACTCTGTGGCAGGTGTGTCGAGCCGGGCTGTTAGTGGTCTCTGGAATTAGGTAGAGTGTTTGCGGAACCGTACCTGGTAAGTGGTTAGGATCCAGTAGATTGAGTTCCTATAAGGAACTCAATTCAAGAAAACAGTCTGATTTAAAAATGGGCAAAGGAGCTGAGTGAGCATTCTCAGGAGAATGCAAGTAGTCAGTGATGCATGAAAACATGCTCAGTGCAAATCACCAGAGAAAGGGAAATTGGAACCACAAGTGAGAGGCCCCTCATACCTGTTATAATAGCTATTTCCAAAAAGATGAGTGGGGGACCCTCCACACACTGGTGATAAAAGAATAGGTACATAGAATTGTAGAAAGATTAGATAGAAATAGACACAGTATGGGAACATACTTTATAAACTACGTGAAGACAGTTTAATGGCGTAAGGTAGTCTCTAAGCAAATGATCCAGCCGAGTATCTTCCTACCAAAAACAGTTTTCATACTATGTAAAATTAACTTAGAATTGGCCACAGACGTAAGTGTAAAATGTAAAGCCAGAAAACTCTTAGGCCTAATCATGGGACAACTGTTTTATTAAGCACATTTCTGTATCTGGGACAAGATAGCAGACATCTGTAACTTAGAGGTTTATCTTGGCTCCTGTGCAAAGCTGGTTCGCCCCATAGCATGACTGGCACAGAGGAAGGGGCTGCTGGAGGACAGCTACTGGCCAGGGCAACCAGGAAGCAAAGAAAATGGAGGAACCAGGGCAAGGAACACAGGCTTTCAGGTCATGCCCTCAGGGAGCCACCTGACCTCCAACTTCTAACACATGAGACTTTGGGAGACATTTTATGTCTAAACCATAACATGCCACTTCTGAACCCCATAAGGCTTATGCCCATTTCATTATGCAAAATGCATTTAGTCCAGCTCTAAGAATCACCGAAGTCGTAACAATTCCAGTGTTGCTAAACGTCAAAATCCCAAGTCTTCTCTGAGACTCAAGGCAGGCTCTGTTCTAAGACCCTGTAAAAACCGAAACGTTTACCCTAGTACAGTGACACAGGGTTAACATCCTGTTCCAATGGCTGTGTAGATGATTATGTTTGCCATGTCTGTTTATTCACTGTTGACTCTCCGATTGTGCCTACTCAATGATAGGTCATTTCTGGCTGCATGCTAGATAAGGACTCTTTAGTAATCGCTTTTTCTACCACATCAGTTCAGTTTCAACCTCTTGTTCCTTGCCTTTGCGTTTTACTAGCAGTTCTTTGTCTGCTGTCATCTGTTGGCAACAGTTTGGAAAGTCAAATTAGGGGAAAAAATTATCTTGAGTGTTCTCTGTAAATCTGTCACATGGAAGATTTAATCATTCTTAAGTTATTTCTTGACTAGCAGCCGTGGTCCTTACTGTGTTACTTGTGATAGTCTTTGGACCTTATTCAACAAGCTAGCAAGGCCCCAGATAGAGACCTTTTGCAGATCTATGGATTGGACAGGTATTTCAGCACTTTGCTGTGGGTGACAGTAAATGATGTCAGATTAAATTTAAATTGATCTCAATGTTTATCTCTGCTGCATGTGCAGTTATTTCAAGCCTAGAGAACCTTTCAGAGGCATCCCGTCAATACAGCTGCCTGGCAGTCCTTTGCATCTGTAAACTGCATTGGGCACCTGCTGGCCTCTTGCTTTGGAGCTAGTGGGGAGCCTCAATGGATGTACAACGCGGGTATTGGTTGGCGCATCTCAGTGTGAGTTATCGAAGGCAAGAAACAGCTCTTCAGGACTTCAGGGAAGGAAAAAGAAGTAGCAGCTAGTGATACTAACACAAGCTAGCTATTGTTTGCTGCTAGTAAATGACTGAAAAAGTCTTTTCAACTCAAGGAATTAAAATGTGTGTGTAGCCCAACATTCAAATTCTTACTGTTGATATAAAAAAGTTTTTATTTAAAATAATGAATTTCAAATGTTCCTCGTCTTAATAGAAGGCAGAAAATTCACCTGAGCAGAAATACAGATTTAAACAACCAATGAAAAGAAAATGTCTAATTTCTGAAGAAATGTAAATTAAAATGCTGGTATCTTTTACTTGTCAAATTAGCAAAAAAAAATTTTTAAATTTAAAAATACAAGCCGAGTGTGGTAGTGCAATGCCTGTAATCCCAGCATTTGGAAGGCTGAGGCAGGAGGATCGCCACAAGTTCAAGGTCACCCTTGGCTACCAAGCAAGTTCAGGCCAGCCTGGACTACACAGCGAGACTGTCTCAAAAAACAAAACTAAAAAACCCAAAATACAGCAAAACGTGGTTGGAGTTCTGTAGGTACAGTTGCTCATGCTTTGTCAAACATTTTTATTCTTTAACACAGTGATCCTATTTTATTGGATACAACTCAAGGAAATAATCACAGAAAAGAAAGCCTGCTTAGCTCAGTATAATGCAGGGGTGCAGTGCCTCAAGGGAACTGGCACATGCCTACAACAAATGCTCCTTTCCTTTTTTATTCCCCCCTCCCCCTCCACCTCTTGATCCTCTTCCTTTGGGGGCGGGTTTGAGTTTGCAGTACATAATGTTTATGTCCCTGGTGGCACTGGAGCAGGACACAACACATGTAGTTACCTCTTCATCCCTGTCCTTTCCCTCCTGCCTTCCGCCTCTGTGTCCTGATCTTCTTCCCCTTTAAGGAAGCTTTGTCTCCCTGCTTCTTACTGCCTTTTATTTTGTAGGTAAAATTTTAAAGTTTTTAAAATCATGATGTTGATAAAAGTCCATTTTAGCAGTTTAAGCTAAAATTTTATTTGATTTTGGCTTTAGAGTTCCTGGAAAACTGAAGCAGTTTGTATTTGACTTACATTCTGGAAAACTCCACAGAGAATTCCATCATGGACCTGACCCAACTGATACAGCCCCAGGAGAGGTAGGACTCATCTTGTGGGAACTCGGCTTTTTCTTTTGCTGTTAGCCTCAAAGAAGATTTGAAGCTCCTACAAAGGCTTGGGCTTAGCTCTTAAATTGCTTTGTAAAGAAATTATGAACAAACTCTAAAACATAATTACGCTGTTTAAAATTACTGTGTAAAATTTCAGGCCTTCATAGAAGTTGCAGACAACATAGTAACTTAATTATCGAAGGTGCTCTGAGTATGACTTTTGTGAGACATGGTTGTTAAGGGTTAAGTTCAGGTGTCTTCAGGAAGAAGTAGGAGGTGGGAAGCAGGAGGAGGAAACCAGCGGGGCAGGCAGCAGGCAGGAAGATTGACCTCACTGCAAGGAAAGTCACTGTTCTTGTTCAGCAATTCTGAGCGCCTTCGAGAACATGGTCTTGTTGATGTTCAGAATTTAAGATTTAAGTAGCTTTTTCTAGTTGACATTTCAACTGTTTGACACCTGTTTATCGAAATTTTATATTTTCATTTATTTATATGTATAAATTCCAATTAAATATGTTAAATATATATGTATATAAATCCTTATGCGAAAAAATATATTTTTAAAGTGGGGAATTTTATTATTTCTACTTTGTAACTTCTATTATAAGTAATTTCTGTGTCCCAGTTTTACTAAACAGCCCTAAATTTGCATTTTGATGTGTTAGGATTTACATAATGTCTATTATAGTGAAAATAAGTAGGAAGATAACATATTCTAAATTCTGCTTATTTTATATGTCTAAATTTAAATTCACTATTTTTCCCAGAGAAGCTACTAATTAAAAACTGAGTGTTCCTTTACCTTATTGAAGAATCAGATTACGTTTAGAGTCAACAGTTCTTTTTAGAATCTTCTGACATGATTTTTTCTTGGAAAAAGACATCAGATTACTCTTTGGTAATTAAGCAACTATAGAAGGAGGCAGATTTGTTCTAGGCAATAACCTAGTGGTACTTGTACAGAAAAGGCATGGTTAGTATGGTTATCAGATTAGGTTATCAGATTAGGGAAAGTTGTAGTTTTACCACTGTTGCGTTACCCTGATTTGTTTCAGGTTCTCCTTAGACAGTGAACTGTTTGTATTTATTCGTCTTTGTGTATTAATACCCAGTGGACACCGAATACTGTACATGTTTGTAATATAATTTTAGCTTAGTTAATCTGAATTCTATCAGAGCACACCATTGGAAGGGTAGTGGGGCAGTGGAACAAGTCACGCTCTGTGGTGTTTGCAGACACTGTACTTTCTGTTTTACGGGCGTGTGCTCGGGTGCCGTGTGTGACAGTGCGTTATGTGTAGTGCCAGTGTGGAGATGCTACCTTCTCCGAATTCTTGGAAATCGCTGTTGCAAATTGGCTGTGTATTTCTGTCTAAGGTGGGGTATGAGTACATACTACAGAATTTTTTTCAGTATTTTTTTCTCCTTATTTCACCTAACTTTTAATAATTTGTGGTACCCATGTAGCTGATAAATAAGTTCTGTGTCTAGAGAGTAAGCGCTTTCATTCTCTTAGCAGTGGTTAGTGAGAGGAGTCCGGGCCATGGCAGGGAACTGCCATCTCCCCGGCCACCAGCGAAGCTTCCTGTGCCCGGGCTACGTTTCCTCCCACAAAAGCTCGGCAGACTGCAGCAGGCCAGGGTCGGCAGAGTGTGGGGTGCCCAGAGGAGTGTGGGGTGCCATTTGACAGGACAAAGGAAGACTGCAGATTTAGCGCTTTAGCACACAGTTGTTCTCTATATTCATTAATAAGCAAATGATTGGGAGGCAACTGTCATTCACTTAGACTCTATTAAAATGCTACAACTCCATAAAGTACATTGGTACAAAAATGTTTTATTCTTTCTTTTATAGCAAACCCAAGATGTAGCAAGCAGTCCTCCGGAGAGCTCCTTCCAGAAACTAGCGCCCAGTGAATATAGGTACACTTTATTGAGAGATCGAGATGAGCTTTAAAAACTTTGGAAAACAGTTTGCAAGCCTTTCAACAGCAGCATCAACTTCCGTGGTGGAAATAGTAAACCTATATTTTCATAATTCTATGTGTATTTTTATTTTGAATAAACAGAAAGAAGTTTTGGGTTTTTAATTTTTTTCTCCCCCTGACTGAAAATGCATTGTCATTTAACATAGCCTCTTTTAAAAATCTGGTAGGGTTAAAAAAGAGAAATAAAAACCAGAGGCCTGTCTTTGCTTTGAATCTGTCCTGTAAAATTTCTATAACTCAAGTGAAAGGTGCCATTGCCAGAACTTAGCGTGAACTTGCACTACCAGGGCAGGGAGGACTTAGGGATGTCTCTTGTGTAGTATGTGTTTTCTTGCTTTTCTTTTCCTATGATCAGTTCTGTTGGTATTTTCATTATCATATTTCTGAAAGCTAAGGATACTTGGGAAGGGAATAAATTAAAATTTTCACACTGTGTACTGTGTTTTACTGATTGGTTGGATATTGCTTATGAAAACTCCATAGTGGTATTTTTTGGATTCTTAATGTGTAACTTAAACATACTATGAAGAGGAGGAGAGCCATAAGCCAGAACATTTGGCAGAAATTGCCCTTATGAATTAAGGAAAAGAAATGAAAAGTATTATTAAGTTTCTATGTGTTTGTCTAAGAAAGTGGCATATGGATGGCATTTAGAACCTTGAGCGAATTATACCTAAATCTGGGAAGTAGAGATCCTGGCAGAGTAGGTTACTAGTATTGAACTAGATAACTTTTAAGGCTTCTCCTATCATAAGACTTCAATTTCCAAGAAGAAAAACAAGCAGAGAAATTGTATTTCAATAATTCTAAATGTCCTTCTGTCTTGTAGTGTTGTTATAGTTGTATAGATCAAAAGCAAAGACATTAAAGAACATACATATTTAATTTTTCCATTGGTAGAGGACCTGCTCCACTGTAGATTCCCTAATATTTCCCAGGCCTGCAGTATACAGTCCCACAGTCCCAGGGCAAGGCCTCAGTACTGCCAGGGACTAAAACCAGAGGGAGAGGACCCTCAGTGTCATATCAGGAATCCCAATGCCCGAGGACAGACAGCTTCAAAATTGGCTTTCCTCTGGGTCTGGGTTGGTGCTATAGGCAAAGGGTCATTTTATACTTGGGGTATAAATCAATCCCAGTTTGGGAAAGATTATTTTTAAGCTTAAAAGGTTGACTTGTGCCATTATATGTAATATATGTAACATCTTCCAATACTTTTAAAATAAAATGAATATTTATAATGGATATTTAATAATTGTTATTTTTAAAGATACAGTTCTTAGTTTTGCATGGTTTATCCATAGTTTCCATGGTTTCATTCAGAATAATCAATGTTAAGGTGATGAGGGGCATGTTAGAGTATTGTATCAGATTATGATCAGAAAAATAGGACAGAGCTTTTGGGCCTTAGTTCTGTTCCTTTTTTGCTTTTATTCAGTAACTTGAATAAAGTCAGAGTTATGATCCTCAAGTCAGAGAATGGACCAAATCTGCGAGGGTTACAGGGAAAACAAGTATTCAGAAAACTAAGCCAAAACCAAGTGCAGCAGCACATCAGCCAGCTGGGATACACTTGTGAGCTTGTAATTAAGTTTGAAAAAATAAAGATACTGCTCAAGTACGAGGTCTCAGAGAGCTGGATTAAGTGTAGTTATTTTGGAAAAGGCCTCATGTTCAGTGTGATCTAAGATGGTACAGTAGTTGTATAAAGAGTGGATTTGAGAGTGGATTAGTAGTGTTCGTATGTTGGACTTTGGGCTCCAGCCCCACCAGTTTCATTGTCTTCTCTAGACTTTGAAGCCATTGAGGGCAGGATACTGAGGTTTTTGTCTGTATCTGTAGTACCTAGAGTTTCTGGACACTTAGTCTTCATCAAACGTTTACTGAATGAATGAAAAGCAAAGTGACCTTGGGTGATTTTTATATCCCCTGAAGCTATTCGGCACTCATCAGGGTTTGATGCCTGGTTTTATAAAAAGTCCTTAACAAGCTCAAGTGCATTCCACGAAACTAGAGCGTGGGAGAAGAGGTTGTAAAATGCTGTGTTCAGGCTGTCTTGCTTAGAGCAGACTCGGGTCTCCGAGTAGTCTGGCATTGGAAGGGCCGGCAGTGTTTGTGTGGGTCCCAGAGACAACTGTGATTCCAGGGAGTTATGGGGAAGCAGATTCTGGTAGACTTTTATTCAAGGAAGGCTTCTTGGTGCCATCTATAATGGGTTACAGAGGTGAAGAAGGCAGGATTTGCGCCTGAGAGCTGCTCAGTCTGGTCAGGCTGCTGGTGTGTTACAGGTGTTACAGATGTGGTTATAGAAGACAGAGGTGAATGTGGCTGGCATCAAAAGCACCAAATTCCAAAGATTTCATGGAGGAGTGGATTTTATGCTGAGTGTTAAGAAAAGGAATTAGTGTTCTTCAAGGGACCTGGGTGTAGGGATAATCTGAGCAAAGATGCAGAATAGCCAAGTGTGGTAGCGAAAACAGAGTTTTTCTTCTTCGTGAGACAGGGTCTCACTGTGCAGTTCAGGCTGGCCTTGAACTCACACCCTTCTGCCTCAGCCTCCACAGTGCTGGGATTACCATGTGCAGCACCATGCCAGCGAAAATAAATTCTTGGGGGAGGATTAGTACATTGGAGAGTGGGAAGAAATGAGAAAGGTTAGAGAAAAAGGTGGAGCTGCTCACACCAGGCCCTGACTGCGGAGCCAAGGGCTTCTTCACCTGTGTGTTGTGGGTCACAGTCCCAGTGCGGAGCCCAGCAGGAGGGATCCCTGCTTAAAGAGCGCTGTGGAAGCAGCTCTCAGTGTAGGCCTCCCCGAGAGTATTCCCGTGGAAGTTGCTTCAGTTTACCTGATCTTCCCAGGGCCCTGGGCTGCTCAGCTGTGGTAAGAGGACAGAAGGTTTCTGGAGAGTAGACATGAGCAGCAGAAGCCACCCCAGGAGCTTCTCTGCCAGCTCCCTGTTCTAGTCTTTCAAAATCGTTCCCAGTCCTGAGAGAGGGACCATTAAAAAAAGTAAAAACTGTCTTTAGATAACACTATAAAGTTTTAAAACTCAAATGAGCCCAGAAAAAAAGACAAAGTAGGGACTTGGAGTGCCTCAGGGAACTCCCTGATGAAACCAGCTTGTCAGGTGTCATGGGTGAAAGTGGGAAGCTGGTGGAGAAAAGCTCCAAAGAAGTCCCTAAAATACAAAAGTGTTTGCAATAGTAGAGCTGAGAATGAGCTTAAATTTGTAGAAAATTCTCAAGATGAAAAGTAAAGTAGTGAAATGGACTGACAATCAGAAAAAGCTGAATATTCACTTCTTTATTTAACAGAGATAGTCTGGCTGGGCAAAAATTAAATAAAGAGCGAGAAGGAAAAAAATTGCCACATTGTTTTAATGCCTATATTTCTGTATGCTGTGGAGCTACTAGCAGTTGTAAATGCTTTGTGTTAACAATTCTTGGAGAACCATGACTATAAGGTGATAAGACTGGAAATGGGCAAATAGTGTTCCAATTTTCAAAATAATTAATGGCTTTTGCTATTTTTCTAAAAACCTCATGAACCAAACTGAAATATTGGTAGTCTGTATTGGGGGAGGGGGGAGATTTAAATAGGTGTAAAAAGAACAAAGTATTACTAGTTTTCAAAACCAGTATTTAAAGACCCTGAAGACATTAAGTTGTTTCAGGACTTAAGTTGTTAAATGCTGATATACCTGACTTATGTGTTCATTAAAACAGGTTGAATAGGACCTCTGCTTAGTAACTGTTTTTTTAGCTGTGTTTGAATTTTTGTATGTATTTCCAAGTAATAAAACTATATTTATAAAATATTTCTATATTTGAGACTTTGTACTAATTCATTATGTCATAAATAGTATCATTTTACTTAGAATCTAGACTAGAGTTATTACCTATTCCAATTTTATTTTTCATGTCATTTTCTTTTACTTAGAGTGGGAAACTATGAATTTGTGTGCTGGTAATTCAAGCCCTTATTTTAATGAAATGTTGATGTTTCTCTCCAAGAACACATTGAGGAAAGGCTGGCCTGCCCTAAGACATTAGGGTTAGGAGTCTGGAAAAGAAAGTGCAACTTACAAAATACTTCTCTCATGTCTACTTTCCCCTCCACCATGCTTAGCAAATTCCTCCCATTCAGCATTCAGTGTGGAATTGACCTGCTGTGGCCACACAGCCCTTTATGTATGTTAGGAAATTCGCAGTCGGGGAAATTAAGCGTTCACGTATCCCCTTTCCCTAGCCCCACATCAGTGAATGTGATAAGGAGAGCAGGAACTCAGACCTCCTCCTAGCAACTTGGTACACTGAAAGAACTCCTGAAATCTGATTTTAAAATGTTTAATACACTTAATTAAAAATAAGTGAACAAATGAAATAAAGGAAAAGAAATTATCACTGTAACTGGAATGAACTCTGCTAACTGATGTGAAAATTTCAATTTAATCTAGTGATTTTGTCATTTGCAGGCATTTAAGTGAATCCAGTCACCTTCAATCTCATGTCCTAAGTCGGTTTTGGGGTCCTAAGAGTTTGGTCCAGAGTGAAGTCTTGAGTATACACCAGGCAAGCAATTTGTAACACTTTCCGAATCCTTTTTTTTTTTTTTAAATCAGTACCAGGGATCGAACTCACGATTGCGTGCTGGCAAGGCAGGTGCTTATGCCGCTGAGCTAAATTCCCAGCCCCCTGACTTTAATTTGAAAAATGAAATATTTTCACCTCCAAATTGTGACATTTTTCAATTCATGATCTCAAATCCTGAAGACATTTTCTAGATTTCTGTCGCACCTTTCATTCCTGTTAATATGTGAAAGTAGGTACTAAGCTAGGATTTTCTGTTTTGGAAAGCAATTGCACATTTAATATATTCCCCAAGAGGTCAGGACTTGCATGCTATGACCTCATTCATCATCTGAGAGTCACTAAGGGGTGTGGTTTCTTTTTATCTTCCCATCACTATTTCATGCCAAGAAATACTACAGGAAGCATATGGTATAATAACTGGTCTAAAAGATGTTTACTATGTAGTTGGAGACCACCATGTCACCAATGCAAGAATTTTACCTCTGCACAATTAAGCACAGGTGAAATGGGACACACTGAATTACAGTGATAAGAAATACTCATGTAGAGAAATAGGAAACTACCACGAAGGTCTTGGACACTAAAAGATAAAATTTCATGATCATCAGTCACTTTCTAATAAATACAGGGCCAGCACCAAGTGGGTATTCAGTATTTAATGTAACTCACCAGGAGGCAAGAAAATGTGAATCATTTCCTACAGCTGGAAAAGGAGGGTAACCACCAATAACTCTAGCATATGTGAGGTTTGTTACTTCTCAGGCAACAAAGGCAATATGAGAACTTTGTCTTATGTAACAAGTGAAGCCATCAATTCCTATAAACAAAGAATTACTGAATTTTAAATAAACACCCTAGTCTCTTGTTATTTCCTTCTTAATCAGCTTCATCTCCAGCTTTTAATTCCTTGGTTTTCACTGTGCAGTCTCTCTGCCCCCTGGAACCTGTAACCCTGCTTCAAGCGGGCATATTCTTGGGCTACTACTTGAGAACCACATGTCCCAAAGCCTCCCCTTCTCTTCTCAGCAGGCAGCCCCGTCACTCTGGGGAGCCTTGTGTTACTCTGTGCATTGTTCCTGTAGCTTATGTACTCTATTGTGCCGTGATTCCCTTGCTTCAGGTAACTGAACGGCTGAGGAGGATAGATTCACTCTCTAGGTCTAGGATGGGCCAGGGCACAACACACAACAGAAACTCAAATGTTCGTTGGATAAATTTTATTGCATGTTTCCTTTTTAAAGCACCACTGAGCAACATAAATGATGAATTCTTAACAATTGGGCCTTTTCTTGTGTTGCACTTTGGCAACACCAAAGGTTCAACAATAAAATGGAAAATACTTTTAGGGGATTTTATTACTGACACCCAAGTTGACGTCTTAGTTATTCGTCTTAAAACAAGGAGACTTCAAATACTTGCAAAGTATACGAAAAAAATACTACTGAATGTCTCTTCACTAGTGAAGTTACAGGAGCTGGACAATGGTATGTTAAGGCTGGAATATTCACACTGCTCAAGAACCTCAGACTCAGCTCTCGGATGTACAGGCGACAGGACTGGTATTATTTTGAATGTTAAGAAATTGAATGTAATTTCCCCTAGGAAAAAATTTCTTTCCTGTTTGAATGTTGAAGTTTGGCTGAAAAGACTACAAATGTCACCAGGCAACTTGATATGTAGGAACAACAGATTATTTTGAAGAATTTATTTTCTTTGAGACTGCACTATGGTTATAATTCTAGCTCTTGGCAAACTAGTTGTCATCTGGAGCAAATCACTTCCTTTTGAATGCTTTCACATTTTTATTTCAATTTGTTTTGTTAATATTACACAAATACATTGTCATAATAATGTATTTCTTTGATAGCCAAATATACTTTTACCATTGTTTGTTTATAATAAGTTTCTCTGTGAAATGGTGTAAAACTGACAAATACCAATAGTGAGAATCACCTGGCAGAAAGCTAGTGGTCATAAAAACAAACAGAACTTGAATGGCCAGAGTGGCAGGGCCCATCTGACTGCTGAGCTACACACCCCTTTATGGTGGCAGTATCCTGTATCACTGCAGAGCCTTTTTTGCAAGCTTTTCTTTGTCCTGCCTTCCAAAGATTCCCTGTGGCACCAATGAAATGCCTTGCTTTTCTGAAGTGAACAAGAAGCGTGGTTTGGTTTTTGTACTTTCACAGGTAGGAAATCCTGAGTGCTGTATCTTTATATTACAGCTTTCTTCAGCTTCCTGTGAACAATATTAGCATTTACTCCTTTCTCCTATACAAGTAACTTAGAGCACTTACGGGTGGGTAGGCAGGCTTTTGGACTTAGGGGTTCCTCAGACTCAGTGGAACCTGTGTGTCCTTTGCTCGGGAGCTCTGGCTAGTTCCGCACAGTCCCAGCATAATCACTTCTTTAGGTCCCTGGCTCCTAGGTGCTGGGGTAGGAGAGCTAAGCCATCGGAAGATAAAACCCAGAGGAAGACAGGTGCAGACAGAAGGACAAAGGAAGTACGGTCTCCCTAAAATGCAGATGGCTCTTCCTGTGTGGTCCGCATCCATCTTTAGAGCAATTACAAAAGCAGTTTAGAGAGGTCTGAGTAAAGCCACCACCAGCACAGTGACTACACAGTTCCCAAAAGGGCATCATTGTAAAAGAAATAACCATTTTAATTCTGTGAATAATGACAGATTTGCTTTAAAAGGCATGAAAAGTTCATTAGTATAAAAAGCATTGTTTAAGCTGGCTATAACCGATGAATAAAATAATTTATAGGTTGGGTGTGATGGAATAACACCTTAATTTTACAGTGTAAGGCTCAAATCCACCACGATGCACATCTTTAATTGCCACCATTAAAAAGTATGTGGCTGCTGGACACCTGGTGAGGAATCAGAAGCTGGAGAAGCAGAAAGCGAAGTCACAAAGCTGGCCTTAGCGAGGGGGCCTGCGGGGCCTGCGGAGGCAGAACCGAGGGCGCGGCTCAGCGCTGCAGAGGCAGCACGGGGTACGGCTGCCTTAGAACAGTTTCTGTAGTTCGACAAGCCAGTTACACCCTGGCTTCTCCCCTTTGCAATCGAATCATCCTCTGCAAATTATTTGATTCTCTGAGGCTCAGCTGCCCTACCTGGCAGTGTATTCACTAAACACCAGTTCCACTGTAAGGATGTTTTCTTCAAAGTAAGGGTTGCAATCACATACACACCAGTCAGCACAGTGGGCTAATTGGGTGTATTTTATAAGCAGTGAAAGCATGAAAATTCACTGCACGTGATAGTGTAAATATGGTTTCCTTATGCATACGCTGCTTTCATACGAATGTACTTCTTTATGGGTTACACCAAAAACTCAGTCTCTGCTCCATAAAGAAAACCTCAGATGATGATATCAAAAGTCCTCAGAAAGTGCTACCTTTATCCAAATAAACCTTTACAAATACTAAAACCTTCCTTTCTAACTTACTGCAGTAAAACTGAGACATGAGTCATAAAGAAGATAAATTTAACCTAACACTATAGGGCATTAAATTCAGCTCTCAGTGTCATACTAATTTATACACATAAGCACTTTACAGATTATAGCTATTTCCTTTATAGTTGATTAAACACTTTAGCAATTTCTACAAAAAGTTGGCTATTAGGGGAAATGAGACATAGTTTCTAGGTAACTTTCTTAAAGGACTGTGGGTTGCTGAATTATAAAGACTGCTGGCCTAGTATTCCAGTCCTGACGAGCAGTAAAAGTTGAAGACTGAGTGCATATAACTGGGTCCCACATAGCTCAGTAAAAATGAGAAATTCTGCACCAGAGTATATGCTTCACATATAGGACTGGACTTTCTCTCTTCTTCAGGTGCTTACACGTCTTCATGTGTTTTTAAGAAGTTATGTTGAAAGTGTGACAAATTTGGGGTTGGCAGAGTAGAGCATTATACAGCAATGAAGCAGGACAGACTACCAGAAACTACAGACAGAGAAATGAATCTTGAGATAATCATACCTAAGTTTGCAATTTCTGCCAACTAGGTTGGAAAAGCTCACTCAGGTTTAACAACTTGTTAAAGGGACAGCAAGGACCAAAATCTAGGAAAAGATGGGCAGCAAGCTGAGCATGGTAGCCGCACCTGTAATTCCAGCACTCTGGGAAGCTGAAACAGAAGGGTCATGAGTTTGAGCCCAGCCCTGGCACCTCAGGGATTCAGCAAGACCCTGTCCCCAAATGTAAAAAAAAAAAAATGACCAGAGATGTAGCTCAGTGTGAAGGCCCTGGGCTCAGTACCCAGCGTGGAAACAAAAACAGTGATGCCAACCTTAGGTGTGTCCACTAGCACTCACTGGATCAGCTCTCCTTTTGTGTTAAGATGGAAGGAAGTAGGTAATTGTTGCTCCTTGCCAGTAAGAAATGGTGCTTTGTCTCATATGGAGCCACAGACGTGACAGGTAGCAAACAAAGTTAGTTAAAGCAACCTCAGCGAGAGAGCAGCTCATTGGTAACCCTTGACTTCCCTGCACTGCCCAGACCTCCTGAGGTGCAGGAACCCACTCCAGCCCACAGAAGACAGCAGAGGAAGGCCAACAGGCGGCTGGTTCCTTGCTATGCCGAAGAGCCAGGGGCGCAGAGGGAGGGTGCCTCTGACCTTTACTCTTACCGTGTAGACCGCTTGTGGTCTTTCAGATACACGTGGAGTTGGGCTGCACCACACTCAGTATCAGTGTTGGTATGAGCACCGCAAATTCTTTATTGGGACTGAGTGTTGGGACCAGGCTTTGTCAGCTAATCATAAACAGCATTTTGGGGAAGAAACAGAAAATGTGGAAAGTCCAGGAGATAAAGAAGCCTGGGGAAGGAAGGGGTGGAAGTAACAGCAGTGAGGTAGAAAGTTCTTTGCTCAAAAGGCAGGGTGAGAAGGACACAGGACAGAGCCCTCTGTGCAGTGGGCCCATCAAGCCCTCCAAACCAGACAGTACCCCAGGATGCGGCCTCATGGTTTTGGGCCCTCATTTTTAACCCAACTCTTACAATGCTGGAAACACTGGAAGTTTTCCTCCTTGTTAAACTTTAAAGGTTACAGGAAGGGTAGAGATGGGAAGCAACACTGGAAGGCAGACGATGAGAAAAGTGCTCATTATACGTGAGTAGGATTCACCCCATAGACGGAAAAGGCTTTTCAAAGTTCACAGGAGGGAAACAAAGGCCCTGGATGGTTGAGAAGGTGGCCAGCCTCACACTCTCCTACCACTTGCTATCAGTGCTGCTTTACGGCAGGCAGGGGACAAGTTCTGCAAAGAAGCCAGTGTCACAAACGACATCTGAAAGAGAGACGGGCCTCTCTCCACTTCCTTACACCATGACTTCCCTCACCTAAAAGCAATGTAAGCTGGCTCCAACCACAGTCAGGTTCACCAAACAGATTCCATGTTGGAGTCCCCTGCACCTGGCCTATCTATAGAAAGGCTCTGTGCTCCTGCCCTTTCCTCACCAAGGGGCCTGAGTAAATACACTTAGGCCGAAGGTCGCCAATTCAGGGGCACATGCTAAGTCCTTCACCAAGTTTTAAACTCAGTTTTCACATTTCACTCAGGGCAGAAAACTTGCTCCTTGGCAGTCTTTAAATTTGACTCAGTGAGAATTACACATCCTAAGCCTCTCGATCCCTAAAATCTCCAACACCCAGCAAAAGAAAATACAACCGACGTCACGGTTCCGTCACATCAGAGCACCAGAGCCACTGTCCCGACATGCAGAATTCCACAGGCGGGCAGTGTGTCCCCAGCAGCAAGGTGTTTACGAGGGTCACTATGGTGGTGCCGGAAAGGCCAAAGTCTGGTCTCTAACTGCACTTTTTGTCACTTTGGCTGTGAAGATCTGGACAGCTGGAAGTGAGCTTCTCCATCATTTTCTGTTTCCTTCTTTGTATCAATTTTCCACCTGTGAAGCCTAACACCCCACCACCAAGTGCAGCTGCAATTCCTACCATTTTGAAGCCTACAAGGAGGCCAATCGGACCCCCCACCATTCCTCCGATGAGCGCACCTGCCACGGGCAGAGCTGCCAGCTTGTATTTTGCAGCCTGTAGGAAAAAAAATTCAATTTAGAAATTGAGTTGAGAATATCTGCCTGTGGCGATGTGCATTTTCCTCTCATTACTCTTGGCAAAGCCTCTTTAACTCCTGGTACATAATCAAGCCTAGAGATGTACTTGGGGGCGGGGTAGGGGAGTATTCCACAGGTACCACGATGGGTCCAGATCCCAGAACTTAGGAGAAATGAAACACAGCGATGGCTACAGATTTTACCTGCCAAACAATCAATCCCCTCCCTGTCTAGTTGGCTTACCTAAACAGTTTCAGCTGCCACAGATTCTGATCCCACCGAAGCATAAAAACCAGAGATTATTCCAGGTTATGTACTTGGGGATAAAATGTACGCTGGATGGAAAACAGATGGCTGCACTCCACATGGACTGTCACACTTCTACGTTTGCCCTGACTGTGTTCTTGTGCCCCTCTCACTCCGCTCTGCGGATCTCTTCAGATATATTAAGTGCCTTACAGTAAATCTACAGTTTATTCTCTTTTAGAAAAAATCTCTCATGATAGAATGAATCTTAAAGTACGGTATTACAACCATTGATTTCTTGCACTACCTATGTGTCATTTTTTCCTGATTTCCTTAATTGCCAGTTCCCTCAGCACTGAAGAGAGCAGATCAATTGGGTTAATACTGGAGAGTCCTGGGAGCCTGAGTACCATCGATTTGTCAGCAGGAGCAGAATCTTACCTTCCCCAAGTTCTTGGTTCCCTCTTCAACATTCACAGCGGCAGTGTTGACGTGGTCTGCAATGCTGTCAATCTTCTCCTGCTGAGACTAGATGCAAAGGAATTACGAGTGAGCGTTCCTGCTGGGGAGCGGCAGGAAGCCAACACACACCATTTTAATTCCTGTAATCAGGGCCCAGGGTACCGCAGCCTTGCAGTCTTAATAGCGGTTCATTAATAGCATCTGATAAACCACGTCAAAAGTACAAATTCACTTTCATAAAAAAAGAGGAGGACTTAATTATTAGGTAATAAAAGGGTGGCACCTTTACAGCAAAAATCATCTCACACTGAAATTCACTCAAACATACAAACATACTATTCTCCAAATGAATCTACTTTATGGGAGAAAAATATCCAAACAAGCATTTACATGTCATGCTGGATTTGATGGAAAATAACAAAAACAAAATCAACCCCCCAAAAACCGCCCTTATTTCCTTAGAAAATTCTATTTAAAGCAGGCATATCTACCTTGGAAGTAAAATGCCCCTGATCCAGTATAAACTGTTATGTCTTAAGAATAAGATTATAACACGAAATCTTTCCCACGTGATACGCACCCGGGAGCAGTGAATACTGTCTTGAGTTTTACACCTATATACAACACAGCCTAAAGTCACAGCAAGTTAAAATATTTCAGATCAAACATATTAATAAAGCACAATACGTAAAATAGCACCACGTGTGCTGACACAGCAGCAACTGTGACTCACGGAGCCTGCGGGCGGGAGGACTGCCAGGGTCTTCTGAGCACTGAGCTCCACTGCAAGGATTCTGGCTGCTGGACCTCTGCTAAACTCCCTCTCAAGACCACATTCCTTGACACAGGGACCCCGTCTATTTTAAAATCCACCTTAGCTAGAATTTATATTGTAGAAACCCTGTAGCCTCCATCACAATTGGTACATGCTTTGTCTTAGCTGTCTTTATCTTCATTCCAGATAAAGGCCATCTTCCACAACGCATGAGTCCTGAGGTGTCTGATTCCCTTATATAACTGACCTGTGCATTTATACTTAGACAGACATAAATAACACTCTCCTAATTCCAATCAACATGTGAGTGCTATGTGAAACTCAAACATAGCTAATTCTTCCCATTTGTTTCGTATTAGCATTATTGATATTCCTTCCCTTCTCGCTATGTACGGGTAAACTGTCTGGCGCTTTGTGGGCTTCCTTCATCGTATGCTTCTCTACCACCACCTTGACACCTTTAATAGGCTCAGCCCTTGCTCGGCTTGCTTTCAAACATCTCTGTCACAGCCCAGTCTCACAAGGGCTCTCAGACCCTCAGACAGAAGTGGGCAGCAGAATCCCTGCAGGGCTTCTCAGAGCAGACTGCTGGGCCGCACCCTAAAACTTCAGACTCAGGAGAGCCTGAGAACTTGTGTTTCCAGTTGTTCTCCAGTAGGATTGAGGGGTAACTTCTGACTCAGCTAGCCTGTGTTTAGGTCCCAGCACCGCTGTAGGTCTGCAGGTCTCACTCTTATCTGTCAAACGCGGATCATGAAATTTACCCCACAGAGTTAATAAAAAGGAGAATAAAGTGAGATATCAGCAAAGTATGAGGAGGGAAATAACAAAACTCATCCTGACTCTCCCAAGAATGTGTTAACTCTTATGCTCCTGTCTAAAAATATAGAGCTTTTTTCTAAGGTATTTGAAAATTCTGTGGCTCTCAAACATTAATCTCCCCCAAGCCTTTACTCACTGAATTTCAATTTTTCCCAGCAAAAATTTTTTAAGTCAGCCTTCCTTTTCTGACCCACAGAAATAAAAGTACCAGCACTAGTAACACCCAACTTGTCTGGATTTTTGATGACCTACCATTGCTTCTATCTGGGACACCCTGACATTTTACACTTCGGTCTGAAATAATCTATGCTAGCAGATAAATCACAGGAGTACAATCTTATTACCAATCTTCATATCCCAATAAGTTAAGGGAGAGTAAAATCTTATCACCAATCTTCATATCTCAATGAGTTAAGGCAGAGGTAAGGTGTCTCCCATCTAATTCCAGCCAGGAGGAGGAACCTGATTATTGTTATTTCCATGCACTGTGTGCTCTCAAAGCCTCAAGGAAACATTTTCCAGTGCTTATTCTTAAAAAGTTTGAGTTTTAAAACACAAGATTTTTAAAGTGAAATTTTAAATAATTTTAATACTTGAAATGCTTCAAGCATAAAATGCTTGAAATAATCAGAGAAAAGACTACAAAAACAGAACAATCCTGGGATCACTGGTTATTTTAACTATAGCAGCCTCCAACACTGTAACCCTTAGGACCTGGTAAAGCCCATCTTGGCCTGCAGAAGGCCCAGCATCTGCATGCACTCATTCCCTGGTATCAGAAGCTTGCTTAATTCCAGGGCATGGTTAGTTCATGGAGGGCAGAAAGCCACTATTCTGGGATCAACAGTCATTCCTCAGTCCACCTTTCTTTTATTTTGTTTGGTCTGAATTTTCAAACTGTCCAGATCTTTGAATTCTGCTTTGTAAGACTCAGTAACACCACCAAGACTATAGTTAGGCATCAAACTGGTACTATAGAGTTGTCAGTCTAGTTTGGCACCTAGCACAATCTAGTACAAGGCCACATTAAATTCCATTCGGAACTGAAACTGGCTACCACTTTTTCCTATGTCCTTGGCTCTCTCTGCCAGGCCAATGCATACATATATAGCCCTTCCTCAGTCTATGAAGCCAAGCTCCAAGCCACCATGGTGGCTCAGAAGTACCCACCAAATTTCTTTTCACTTCTGATTTGCCTGTTGGTCTTCATCTGCATAAGGCTCCCACATTTGACAATTTTCACATCCTCTTGCACTGCCTGACATTTTATTCGTTATTACTTGTAAGTATTCTCAACATCCCTTTAATAATAAGCTATGCCAAGCTGGACATGGTGGTGCATGCCTGTAATTTCAGCACTTGGGAGGCTGGGGCAGGAGGATTATTCCAAATTCGAGACTAGCCTGGGCTACAAAGTGAGCTCAAAGGCAGTCTGAATTGCATAGCAAGACTGTCTTAAAAAGCCAAAACAAACAAAACAACTACAAGCATCAAGCTACATCATTTTTGAGAAACATTGCATTTTTTTCTCAAACTAATTAAGAAATCCTTTTTAAAGAAGAAAAATTCTCAAGATTCAAATGTCTCAACTTTCTTTTAAGGAACACTGAATTAGATCTTCTATTGGCCTAAAAATAACTGAATCTTGATCAGCAGTTTCAGGAGCACCTATGATTTTGAAGAAAATGTGATTCATCAAGTTAATACTTACCAAGGAGAATGCAGTCTGGATACATGAATTCAAAAGTGTTTTTTCACTGAATGTTTGCTGTGGGTACTTATACGCCCAGAATCCTCTATATCAAATAAGACATTCAATAAATTCAACCCTAAATCCACTTACATCAATATTAATGCTCTTCCACGGAGTTAGGTATGTAATTTTATTAGTGTGCTTATAAATCTACAGTATTCTTTAGGGAGATCATACCAAAACTGCAGATATTTCTTTTTATTCTTCCCTAAATTCCACCTTTAATCATATGCGATCATATACACAGAAAGCCCAGAAATAAACCTACAAACATTATGATATATAGACAGAGCACAGGATTAATTGGCCTAAAATAAACAGAGAAGCAAAATGCTAACATCAGGGGATTCAGCAGTGGGAAAGGAACTCACAGAATTCCAACCCTAAAATGACCCCTGGTAATGCTGGCAACCAAGGTAGAGTTTTATGTAAGCCAAAGAGGGACCTAGGAAAAGATAAATGCAAGGGTGCGGCTGCAGCAACGCAAGGGAAAAAGATGGGAAGTCAAAGGTGGTGTCATGCTTAGCCTCTCATTGCTTGTATACAAGGTCCCTGAGATCAAACAACATTCTGAAAGTCAACTAGGTAATAATGGAGGACTAGGACCTAGTCCAGTGCGGCCCAGGTTTCATGAATACAGAACAAAATTGGATTTCAAAAGCCACAGAGTATAAGACAGAAGGTATAAATCACAACAGGATCAGCAACAAAGGTGACAAACTGTGAACCAGAGTTCTTTAATTCACCTTGGCTGGAAACAGGACTGCTTTCAACAAAACAAAAAACAAATAAACAAGAAAAAAGAATTTGAGCCATAAGGAGCAAAGACAAATGGAGTAGATGCCTGGTAAATAGCAATTTGCCAACATTTATCGGACCATACCTTGATTTCTCAATGGCTTTTTAAGTCCTTTTTACTGAGGTACAGTCCACAGAACATAACTGTACCGTCTGAGCCATTTCTAAGTGTGCAGTTCAGTGGTATCCATGTTCTCAGTGCTGTGTAGCCATCACCACGGTCCTGCAGGTCTTTTTATGCCACGGCCCCTTCTTCATACCCTGAAAGCGCCCCTGCAGTGCGTGGGGAACTTGCCTACACACTGTCCTGTCCATGTGATGACGCTAAGAGGATGTGGTCACTCTGGTCATATTCCCAGGTCATTCTCTGCCTAAATGGAGCCTCTGTGTGGCCCTGGCCACGTGGTCACGAGAAGTCTGTCACCCGGGGAATAATAACCAGGGTTCTCCTTTGAGCTTTTGCCAATAACATTCTGCTTCGTGTCCCTGCAGAGTGTTATAAATGAGACATCTGTGTAGAGCTATGGCTGGCGTGGTCTTCCCGCATGAACCCTCCTTAGACTGGGACTCAGAGTGCCTCTGAAACATGACTACACACGTCACTATTAAATGGCCTCAAACTCTAACTGTTCTTTCACGTGCCTACCCCACTGGAAGGAAAATGTATTTGTCTTGAATGAGAAGAACTTTGTACAAGTTTAGGCTTTTTCTTAAATCAACTTTATTGAGCTTTACGTCACATACATTAAAATATATATGAAGTATACATTTTGGCAAATGTATTTGTGCAATCATAAACTGCACTGGACTCAGGGATTATTAACTGCAATAACTGAATAAATCTTGACTCAAGCAATACATACTTTGGGTTTTTTTTTTGTTTGTTTTGTTTCTGTCTTTTTAAAACAGGGTCTTACTATGCAATTCAGGCTGGCCTAGGGCTCACTTTGTAGCCCAGGCCAGTCTTGAATTTGCAATGAATGATCCGCCTGCCTCAGCCTCCCATGTGCTGGGATTACAGGAGTGTGCCACCATGCCTGGCTTCATACTTTGAGATTCTTGATGTGTTATTTCCTGCTGTATATAAATATATTAATAGGTGATTCAGATAACCTAATCAAAAAACTTCTAATATTTTGTTACCTCTGATGTAGGGGAATCAGAAATCAAACAAGTTTACTGTATCTAATTTTAGTCAATACATTTATTTAAGAAACTAGGACTTAAGCAGAATAAGGGCCCAGTATTGAAAAGTCTAGAAAGCCTATTTTATAAGGAACACAAAAGAATTAAAGGTTCTTAAGAAATGAAAATATGGTGTGGTTAAATGATACTGGTCTTAAAGTGTTGAAAATCTTTTTTATAGAGAAAACAGATGAACTTCCTCAGTACATGACTCTAGAGGACAAAAAGTACCAAAGAGAAGCTGTCATATGGCAGACTTTACAGAAGGAAGAACTTTAAGACTTCAGAGTCTCCACATGAAATAGTTGAAGTATCAATGCCCTGCACTTTATTATTCAAAAAGAGGCTAAAAATTACTTACTTTAAAAGTTGTGGCAAAAACAGACTTAGGTTAGCTGGCCTCGAGAAACATTTCCCATTCTAATTCTGAGACTGTCTGATCGAGGAACTTCAAACTTAAAAGCCAGATCACAGGGAAAGGTATAGGTAAGTATATTATATATGTTTCATACACCCTACCTTCCCATAATTCTCAGGAAGCAAAACTTAGAACACTTTAAAAAATACTACAACCAAAATGCCATCAACTAAAGAACTGATAAAAAAAGATGTGGTCTTTTAATACAATGGAGTACTACTCAGCCATAAAAAGATGAACTCAAGGTTTTTGTAGGCAAATGGATGCAACTAGAGACCACATTCATAAGTGAAATAAATCAGACTCGCATGTGTAAACATCGTACTGTCTCTCTAGTGTTAGAAGCTGAAAGAAATAATACACAAACACACACACACACACACACACACACACACACACACGATAGTTAAAATACTTATACTTCTAATTTCTCTTTTTTCATGGAAAAGAAAGGTTTGTGCTAATATTTTGGGGTTTTTGTCTTTTTTGGGGGCGGGACAGGGTTTCACTCTGCAGTTCAGGCTGGTCCTGAGCTCATTTTGTAGTCGAGGCTGGTCTTGAACTGACAATCCTTCTGACTCAATCTTGAGTGCTGGGATTACAGGCATGCACCACCAAGCCTGGCTATGCTAATGTTGCTTGTACCAATTTAAATATTGTTTTGAAAGTTTGTTTTCTCTTTAAAATAAAAAATACATATATAGAAAAAAATACTGATAGAAAATCTACTCTGTTCTTCCCACTAAAACTACTATGCGTACTGTGTGCATCCTAATGTATGGTGACAGGGTCACTGGGACCCGAGTATGCAGAACAAAGCTCTAATGTTCCTTAGCTTTTACTCTGTCCTCCTCCAATTCCTGCCAAGTGTACTCTAGCAAAAGCTTTCAACTCTTCGTTACCTTGGTACTGGTGCTGCCGTTGCTTCAAGTTAAACTCCGGCAGCTAATTCCTTACCAGTCACCTACCCATGCCTCCCCCCCCACCATTCCTTACACAACACAAAGGGCAGTCTGGGTTACACACTTTTAACCTGTTCAAAATCACACTGGCTCTTATTGGCTATAAAGAAAGACCAGGTTCCTCAGTACGGCGCTCAGTGCATTGCAGTCTGGCCCACAGCCTCCTGGCTTTGCCAGGGCAGCTGGTGCCCGGTTGGACACAACGCTTACACCTCTTTGGCCATGTCCTTCTCTACGGCTTGCTCTGCTCAGTTGTCCTGAAACGCACTCCCTTCCTGCCTCTGTGAACACTGTGCTTTCAAGGCTTGCAATACCTCTGTTAAACTATACTTAGAGTCTCCAACTCAGAAACTGCCTTCCTACCTGGAAATTAAACATACTTTATTCTGGCATTTAGTTTCCAAGCCTAAGAGCTCAGTCTTGGGGCTCAAATCTGGATCCGCCTATTGCAGAACCCTTAAGGAAGACGTTAGACTTTATTTCTGTATTCAACCTTGCCAGACCCAAAGGAGGGCATTTAACCCACTGCCTTTCACATAACAGATGCTGACCAATGTTTATTTAATTGACCTGGAGTTTGAGGACAGTTAGAATTTTATCCAGAGTCTTAAAAATTTTAACTTCTATTAAAATTCTAACCAAAACTGAGCAAAGCTATTTTAATAATCTCAGAATTCTGGGTCAAAAATCTTTTTATACTTACATTCACTAGGAGAGCGAAATCAGTGACCAGTTGACTAAGTTCATTTAAGTCCTTAAAAAGAGAGAAAGAGGAAATTATTTATCTTTATGCTTCACAGTTACCAAAAAGAAAATACTTTCTAACATACCGCTGCTAAGGTGTCCCATGATTCTGCAGCGTTTTCATCCCGAGGAATTTCAGGCAGCGCATAAACCTGAGTCAAACTCTGAGAATCAGTGTCAGCTTCAGGTGTGTGAATTGCTCCTGGACAAAGAGACACACACCCTCAGTCTGCTTTTCAGAGAGGACCGAGCATGAACCAATTACACAAAACAGTAGCCACATACAATGTTTATCAATTACATTTGAACTAAAAGCAAACTAATTATTCTTTTAAACTAGAATTATTTATCCTGGAACAGCTTGTTGCTAAGCTTAGTTAATACACTTCTCCCATCCATTTGCAAAGCCACCTACAAACTGACCATGAATATTACCTACCCAATTGGAAAAACTGGGGCTAGCTATGGAAGAATCAACATATCTATTCTATTTTGGAATCGCTTCTATTTGGCCAATGTTCTATGAATGACACACAGAAGAAATAAGTTCAATGTCTCAATGCTGAAGCCCTATCCTTTTATTTGGCTACTTTAGTGATAAAAATCAGATACACAAGGTGTTACAAGTAGGGTAATGCAGATGGGATTCAGATAACTCAGCACTCACCTAGTTTGAGCTTCCATAAAGAGGTGGGGGTTTGCAGAGGAGAGGTAAGGGAGTCACTTGTCCCTAATCAATGAAAATTAGCAAACTGACAACAATGTGGTTGCCACCAAACAGTTTTGCCATATGAGTCTTTTAATCTATATTGTCACTCTTCTTAATATTACTTTTTTCTGACTCAGTGTGTCACTGTTTCTTCTTCCTCTTCTGAGTTTTAAAAATTCTTTAATCCGTTAGTACTTATTAAATACTGCTGTAATGATAAATTAATTTATTTTTAAAAATCCACCTTCAAGTCTTACTTCCTCATATGGATCTGGCAATCCTTCATTCATTCAATTGACATTTGTTATATGCTACAGGCTAATTGGTGTGCTCCAGACACGACGGAAAAACTATAAAAACAGTTCTGCGAAGGCATTACAGTGTAGCTGTTAGAGGCATGAGCCTAGTCAAAAAGCCCTTACTTAGAATTCTAGCTTGGCAACTTACTAGCTCTCGGACTTGAGCAGGCATTTCAACTCTGGTTTATTTTTCTCATTTGTAAAATAGGGTAATTTTAATTTTGCACAGCATCTGACTTGTACAAATGCTTGGTAAATAGTTACTACTATTATTAACAGAGCTTATATGTAATTGTGTGATACAGATGTGTTAACAGTGATAAGGCTAAGTCTGGAGTGCTGTGTGCACCCTGAAGAGAGGCATTAAACCTTGACTTGTGGAACGGACAGTGACAGTTCTGAGGCAAAAGCCTGAGGGTGAACAGAAATCACACAGGTGATCTAGGGTGGATGCAGGGAGACGTAAAGAGCATTTGTGTTGGGGAGAAGTGTGTGTGTACGGGTTTAGGACAGAAAGAAGTTCCCTGTAACTATTGCAGATTGCGATAAAGGAAAAAGAAAAGGTCGAGACTAGAAATCTAAGCTGACATTATTCTTGGTATGCTGAACAGCTGTGTCTTTCTCATAAAATAAGATTGCTATGAAATGATGAAAAGGTCTAGAATACTACTAGGAAGCTGAAAGATGTCCTAATCAAACTTCAGATTCAGAAAAGAAGCCATAACTGCAGTGTGACGAACACATTAAGGATGGAGCTGAAAGGTGAGAAAATTAGAGAGAGAAAAACCAGTTGGGAAGCTTTCCAATATGCCCACTGGAAAATTACTCTCTTCAGCTCTGGGACAGGGCCAGTGAAATAGAGAAACCTGAAGTCTACTTTTTTCCCTCCACTCCAAGCTTAAAACACCTACTACTTTAACACTTTCTGATCCCTTCTTATTTATTGTGTTTGATACCAGGGTAGGGAAAGTGAATAACATGAAGTGCTTACTCTCCCAGAACCTATATTACAGAAGAGACAGACATACAGAGACAAACATAAAATAGTGAGTGAGTACAGTGATATCTATCAGCTACATAAAGAGATACACATACATAGAGCATTTTGTGGGAGTAGCATCTGATCCCACTGGATATGGCGTGTAGCTGAAAAGTTGATGATACCAGGCAAGATGAGAGGAATACAGAGTCTACCTAGGGAAACTAGCACCCACAAAAGTCCTCAAAAGAGAAACAATATAGCTAACACAAAATAAGCAGTTTGGTGTTATCAAAGCACAAAGTGAAAACAGTTTCCACTGCAAAAGACATAAATGTTTAGGAGGGCCTTGGTGAGCAGTTAAAGACTTGAGACTATCTGGAAGGTAATGGGGAGTGCTGAGGGAATGACATCATGACATGTGACCTGACCTACTGAAAGTCAGTTACTACGCCATGCTAAAGCCATATTTTCTTTCAGTTACTCTTCTTCAACCCAGCCTATAGTTGAATGATATCTCGTAAAACTGCATTATCATTTTACCCTTAAAGTTTATGAATATGTATTGCTCAAAAAAAAGTTTATTTAAACAACTTAGGAAAGTATAGTTAATTGATTTAGAAGTAATTTGCAGGTTTATCAAAATTGAACATTAATTCTGAACTTGATATATTTCTTTAAGTTAAAAAAAGAACAAAAACATTAGATCTGGAATAAGTTTTACATGACAATACTATGGCAAATATGTAACATTTTAAAAAATCGTAATGAGTTTACAGATGCTTAAGATGGTCTGTACCTTAAGATATAACCACAAAGCCACTTTCATTGTGACATCAGCCAGGATAAATCAATTGTTCTATGACCTTTCTTCCACTTAATATTCCTATGTACTGCAAAGCAGGGCTTTCTACCTCTGCTCACTATGAAGATTACTCGAAGCCTTAAGTTACGTAATGCGAAAGAGGATTCAAATGAAGTATGCCAGGGTATACAACAAAATAAGGAGTTATTATCATGCATAAATTCTTTATCAAAAAGTAAGGGATGGGAATTGACATTTTAAATAACCACAAAGATTTCTCTCAATAAAAAATAAAAAAAATGTTTAAGTCATTTCCTTCTCACTTAAAACCAAACTGCGTATGCATCTTAGTTCAAATACAATCTCAGAACAAAGAAGTCTATTCTCTTCCATAGAGAATCCTGCTGTAAAGTTACAACTCTCAGCATCACCGGTCAGTTCAAAGTGTAACTGTTAATTAAGAGTGCTTGAACCTTGGTGATCACCCTTTGACTGTGACCTCTTGCACACTGCTGTGAACATGCTAACACTGAGCAAAGTACAGCTATAGGAAAAAAGTGCAAAAACTTCAGCATATTCATGGAAGTCAAATATTCACAAGTTAAAAATCATTTCATATTACATAATAATCTCAGTTCCACTCACATGCAAATAACTATCCGCATAAATGACAATTATTTGGTCATGTATCATTAATCACTACTTTTCAAACTCCAAAACTGATTTGAAAACTTTATGATTGGCTATAAATTCAAGTAAACATTACAGAAGTTGACTTATTTTAGTTACAGTGAGAAATAAGCTAAGTAACTTTGATACAAGACTTTTCCCTTTTCTTCAATATGTATCCAAATATTCTCTCTCCTGTCTTTTATTTACCATGCTGCATGAATAATTATCCTTATATAAGAATTATAACACAATACATATGAAATTTCCATTAAACTTAACTACATTAGAAATGCTTCACTGTAAATCTGAATTAATTCTAAGGCATTACTTAAATTTTTTTAAAAATTCTGTTAGCTTAAAAATAGTGAAATTAGCTGGGGATATATACAGCTCAGTGGCACAGTGCCTACCTGGCAAGCACAATGTCCTGAGTTTGATTCCTGGTACCAAAAAAAAAAAAAAAGCAAAATACACACACAAATAGTAAAATTAATTTACCAGTCATCTACAGAAGTCTATCTATCCAAATAAAATATTTCTATGTCACATCTTAACTGCAAAGGAAGATTTCTAGGAAAGTTAAAATCAATAAAAAATATATCTTCTGAATTATATAACCTAAAACCATCTACATGTTTCACAAAACTGGTCAGTGTATGTATATACATAAGATAAAAATCTAATATTTCATCAAATCCAATATACTGGCTTGAAGTTCCCAGCAGTTGTAAGATTGATTCTTTTCTCTTATGAATATTTGTTTAAAATGTAGTGAGATTCTGCTCCTATTGTGCTGCTGAACTGTGTTCCCTGGAAGGAAGGTAAAGACAAAAAATGGAGAGAAGCACTGATTCACTCCGTATGGTCTGAATCACGTTTTTAAATAAAAATTAGATTTGTGGGCTCATCATGCATGTCTCACGGTGGGAAGCACTATGCTAAAAGTAAAGTAGGCACACAACTGAGCCCAAAGGGAATTTCAAGTAAGACTGGCAAAGAAGACTTGCTGTAGGAACTCTTAGAATTTGGACAAAAGAAAACAGAAAAATCATCATAGCTTTCCCTTACACTTAATAAGATTCTTTTGTTCTCTCCAGTTTTTATGTTCTCTACAGAACATAAAACATCCTATTTGTTATTTCCATCTATAAATGAAAAAGAATTTTTGATCTTACTCATGGAAATGTGGCAACACAGCTCCTAAATCTCTGTTATTCCAACCAATCTATTTAGAATCAGATTTATAAAGAAAAAGTATTTTAAGGCACTTCTCTGCAAATAAAACACATTTTTCTGTATAGGCTGTCACTGCTATAAAAGGTATCTAATGCAAAAATAAGAAAAAACTGGAGAGTACAGAATAAAAACATGTAGAATGACAGAAAAGAATCTACAGCCAAAAGATGACCATATATGAAGCAAACCCAATTCCCACCCCACTATTAAAGTCTTATAAAAATTACTCATATTTTTTCATTATGCTTCTCTTTTCCCACCCTCTATTATTTGTTAATAATCTTTCTATACTTAAGATAATCTAAGAGAAATTCACTCTTTGTGAACAATTTAGGTATGTGTTGAGACAGTAATTTTAGCTTCCTTATATTCTCAATGAATTCACAGTCAAAGCACAATCTGATCAGGAGACTATTCAAAATCTGAAATGCTACACACCATTTTATGTATAATTTAGACATAGGATTTTATAAAGAGAATGACTGTTTTAATCAAATCAGCA